TGTCACAAATGTCAATAATTCGCAACCGTACATTGGCTAAATAATACGTTCTACCTGTCAGAATCGAAAAGTCACTGTTTTTCCGATCTGCCTAACTTCGCGGCCGTCAAACTATTAAAAACTTTTCACGGATGAGTACTATCAATCCAGGTATTTTCCGCGGACGGGCACTATCCCTCCGGGTATTTTCCGCGGGCGGGCACTATGGGCTGATAGTGTCTCTCCACGGATGAACACTATCTCGTCACGCGATCGATTTAAACCAATAAGAACTGGAGAAAATTTAGTGGTGAACTATAACTGGAGATACATTTCTTTGATGTCGCAGGTGATGCCAACAGGGTTTCGACGGAAACGGACGAGGACTTTGAAAAGATCTTGCAGTAATTTCGGCTCAGGATGAATCATGTCATTTAAGGAAGTACCATTACATTTAGCGGCACAGTCAAATACTATTGAGTGGCAGTACCGCCAATATTCAGCTACTTTTTTCTTTTATAAAATGGTGCTTAAGATATGAAACCAATTATGTTTTATGCAGCTAATCATTTTACAAAATGGTGCCTTAAAAAATATGGAGCGCTTTTTATGAGGCCAATTATGTTTTACGCAGCTAATCACTTTAAATAATGATTAGCTGCATAAAAAAGGCTTCATAAAAAGCGCTCCATATTCTTTAAGGCACCATTTTATAAAATGATTAGCTGCATAAAACATAATTGGCTTCATATCTTAAGGATAATTTTATAAAAAAAAACAGTAACCGAATATTGGCGGTAATGGCACCCCATAAAATACGATTCGTACTTTTGTTGTCGATTTATCCATTCGCACGACAGGAAAATGCGGCAAATACCATACGTTAGCTGACTGCTGTTCGTTTGAGGGAAGCTTTCATAAATATCCTTTATCAACGCAGGCTTGGATGGTTGCTTGATATTCTTCGGCGACACGGCTGTTCTTCTTCAAAATTTTTACGGTGCCTCATAGGCAAGACGGTGCCATAGGTTTAGTGTCAGGGAGATCGGGTTTGTTTTCTTTCCAGGGAAAGGCTACACAATACCTTCCATTTTTGTACTTTAGGGAATCTTTTACTGTGCTTAAAGCTAGTATTTCTTCCTCTGTGAGTACTAGTCTGTCATCGCGGTCTGTGCTAGACTACTCAATTCCCCAGAATCTCTTTAAGCTGTCGTCGACATCACAACAGGTCTCTTTTCTCTCGCTCCAAATAGGCTCTCTAGTGAACAAGGAACGAATAACGTGAGATCGTGTTCTCGCGGTTTCGCTTTCGTCAGGCGGATCTATACAACTCCACCCCAGTGTTCCGAGGCGGACGATAGGTCCACCATGTTTTCCTCGGAGTTCAACATATGAATAATGAAGTTCAGTGTTATCAATGCCAATCAAAAGATCGACAAGTCCATCATTTGCCGGCTTGGGAAGACTGAATTGGGTCAGGTGAGGCCATTTTTCCTGATGTTTGTTTTCGTTCACAGCTCTGTAACTGCCTGTGACTTTCTGAGGACATGTTTTTACCCCGATTTCCTTTTACAACCTGCCATCTACACTCTCGATTTCAATTTTTAATGGCATGGACTGAAA